CATGGTCTTTCTTTCAAAAATGTCATAGACAATTATTTCGTCTTGCAAACGTTTGAAATGTCTGGGGAAGGCTGACTGGAGTCCAGAACACCACTGACATTTATGTTGTTTTCATTGCATATATTTCGTGATGTGCTATGGCATGGAATTTTCATATTGACAGGCCCTCCAAGGAACACTGTCTGGAACAAATTCTGCATAAACCCCCTCATGACACTGTAGTCCATGATGGGTAAGCAAAATAATTTAGATACAACAGATTAATCTTAGCTCATTTCCCTGCAGATTTGATGGCAATGGGAAGAATATAAATACGAGCGCAACTTGTTTCTTATCAACTGTATGCCCCTTCATCACCCAAGACGAAGAGGCACATGTTTATTTGCATACACTTTTTTGACATTAAGCATGGATGTCATTGATTCCTTGTTATAACCCAAATATTAAAGGAATCAGAGAATCCACTTTAAATGCGATAGTTGCAAAAATTATAAGGCAACCAGACCCATGTTTTGAAAACTTATATTCTACTTAACAAAACACCCGATTCTTTCATGTTACTAAAGTTTATCCGCCACCCCATGAATTCCATGAAATCAAATTGATTTATGTAAACTTTGTGGTAAGACATTTAGGAATCCCCATTCGAACCAATTGTGCTCCCTTCTTGCTGATTTGTAAAGAGGTTTATCTACGCTTCAAGTATATAAGTGATCTGGTACCGTAAATTAGCACTAATCCCGCAGCTCCAGCCTTTGTTCTACATTTCCTTCCTTTTCAGGTTCAAGCGAAAATTTTCTTTCTACCAAGATTTTAAAAAGCGTCATGCGACTCTTGCTCAGAAGGTGTTTGATCAATAAAACAACATCCAAGGCCTAAGTATAGGTTTTACAGTGGACGTCTGGATAACCTTTCCACATTTGACGCATCAGTGACAAAAATTACTTGTATGTTGACTTGTACCATTTGTTCCTGTGTTGGTTTCTTTTCAGGTGAACGGTATACTTGCTTTTGCATGTGTCAGTGACGGATGCGCGGGGCGGGGCAGGATATACTCACCTTTTGTGAACACCTGATCTCACAACTATCTGATGGTCAATAATGGACGCACGCTCATAATATTGTCGGAAGTGTACAATCGATTCTTATTTTGTCATAGATTTCTCATGAATAAAGAATGACTTTTGTCGATTTCTTATGAATCTGAAAATGGGTTTGTCGCTTATATTTTCATATACAAATGTTCATGATATAGTCGGCATCGTTCAGTGGATAAGCTTATGGAAAGTGTTTTGTCACTTTCATTTACATTTCGTATATATTCGGCAATTCGTTTACTCGGTATTCATCATATCCTATGGTTCATTATTTCCCATAGTTCATTACTTCCCATCATTTGTTATTTCCAATAGTTTTTTAGATGTTACCCTTAAATCTTTGTCTCTCCTGAAGAAAAAGAATGTAATAGATTTTGCTGACAAGCAATATGCCAAGTTCATGTAGAATGATCCCCCAGTAACTGTAACCGGAAGCTGAATTTTCCCACTGAACAAAATAGAAAACATATTTCAGTGTCTTGTTTTGTTCTCAGACAAGAGACAATAGAGTCAGCTATCGGAAATAGAGAGGACACTCATGCACAACACTCTAAGTTAAAGTTACGAGAACTGTACGAAGACAAGAAATAAAACTGCATAATGCTATAAAAGCCTTAAAACTAAGATATTTATGAACTCTAGAAACGCGATGTTGGGAGGCTGTCTCTAATGTTGTTGGGAATTATGTCAAGATACTCAGTGACAGTAACCTTAGCCAAAGACATAGACAATCGACCAAGTGGGTGAGTCTCTAAACACCTGGTCAATCATATTGTTACCCTTGATGAGTGAACGGTCCTTCTGTCAGTTGTAATTCAGTTGTTTAAAACTGTGCCCCACTGTGTTGCAAAACGAATATATTTCTTAACATTTTTCGTTGCAGGACATGCTTACAGTTCTCTGGAACACCTGGTGTCATCACTGATTTTCAGTGGTCCATTCATATAATTTCCACAGCTGTTTGCCCTTAACACCAAGTGGAATCTGTTTCACCAGAACATCTGGGCTGGTTATTCTCTTGCATTGGCAGTTTATATTTCCATGGAATGCAAAAGGCAAAAGCAGTCTGTTTACATGTCAGGAAAGTGTCATTGATCCACTTCGGTTGATCTCCCACCTCACAAATGCCGAGGAAAATATGCTCAATTTGTAAATGTAATATATAATTTGATAATAGCTACTACTATAATCACAACTCCATTATCAAGAATAGTATTAGCCTGTCAGATAGCGCGAGATTCCCCGCCACCCTAACACTAGCGTGAAATGTTCCGTGCTGGGACAATCCCGAAGGACCTAGCACAGGGCGGTCTGCAGCACTGTGGGCGCCATGTTGGGCAGATGAGCTGAATATTACTGTCAAGGATCGAGGCAACTTGTTTAGGCGCCACCAAAACTGGTTATTCATTCCTGTTTATCTCGGAATGCAACATGTGGAAAGCAGTATGGTCTTTGGCACTGGTGAGACAAAAGTCCAAAACATACAAAACATTTATTGATTAAATGTTGAAATTGTTCACTGATAAAACAATGAATTTTGCTGAAGAATGTGTTGTCTCATTTTTCCACCAGTTTTAAGGAATGTTTTTTTCCAAACGACATTATTATTGACGGTGAACATCTAAATGTAATTCATTTCCTATCATCCATGCCATGAACCCATTATTCAAGTTATGATTTAGAGTAAGCACACTCGATAAACACAATCTCAGACATATTCAAGTGAATATGTACAGCACTGTTTCAAATGTCCTATTTATCCATAGCCACATTCAGTTGCCTCGCTGACTTGGTTGAAGCATGTCATCGATCCAAATTGCGTAAATCGATGCTCATGATATCAATCACTGGACTGTCTGGTCCAGACTCTATTATCTACAGACCGGCGTCATATAGCTGGAATATTGCTGAGTGCGGCGTAAAACAACAAACCAACCAATCAATCATTCATCTGCACGAGTTGCAGCGTTTACTGCCTATAATAACAGTTAAGCAACTACCTGTACAGACAAAACATGAAATATTAACGAAATATCAGTAGGCGGTGTATTAACAGCAGACTAACGGCGCCGAAAACAATTATGATACTTGAATGTCACAGGGAGCGATGGCAGGTCGGCCAATAGTTTGGGGACTATGACTGACGAATATATATATCGCTTTGTGTACAATTCCATGCTAAATGATTCAACAATGTACATGTATTTGTTACGATCATACAATAAGTTATCGATTGGTTTCAGTATCTGATCTACCATTGGCCATTACCTTTTTGCGATATTTACCCCTGGGGTAGCTCTTCATTTATTGACAGACAATTACCATCAGTGCGTCGATTAATAATCTCTCTTGCATGCCACGGTAATGGATAGCCAGTTTGGGGATGCGCAGAAATATCCTGTTTCTTCCTTTTCAAGGCGATTGGATAGTTATTTAAATAATGCGCAGAACTTTTTCTCGCTTGCACTTCGAGGTGATTGCACACCAAACGCAAGGATGTATGGAACCTTTTTGATCTTTAGCATGTCGAAGCGACTGGAAAGTTATTGAAACCATTTCAATCTCGTATGCCCGGTTATTTGACAGTAAATGGAATAATGCGCAGAACTATTTTTCACTGTGACGGCTGCAGGAGTTGTAAGAATAGACAGAAGTTTTTCCTTTCTTAATGTCAGGGAAGTCAACGAAGGCGAGTAGTGATGCGTGAAGGCGAGTGGTGTAGAGTCGTGCAGACTGCTGGCTCTTAAAGGCGAGTGGTGGCGAGTGGTGGTGAGTGGTGGAGAGTTGTGGGGATTGATGGAGAGTGGTGAAGAGTGTTGATGAAGTTTGGTGAGTGGTGGTGTGTGGTGGAGACTATTGGCCAGTCGTGGAGAGTGGTGGCTCATGATGTCGAGTGGTGTAGAGTCATAGAGACTGTTGGCTCATTAAGGCGAGTGGTGACGACTGGTGGCTTATGATGGATTGTGGTGGAAAGAGGGGGAGACTAGTGGCCAGTGGTGGTGAGTGGTGGTGAGTGGTGGTGAGTGGTGGTGAGTGGTGGTGAGTGGTGGAGACGATTGGCCAGTGGTGGAGAGTGGTGGTGAGTGGTGGTGAGTGGTGGTGAGTGGTGGTGAGTGGTGGTGAGTGGTGGAGACGATTGGCCAGTGGTGGAGAGTGGTGGTGAGTGGTGGTGAGTGGTGGAGACGATTGGCCAGTGGTGGAGAGTGGTGGTGAGTGGTGGTGAGTGGTGGTGAGTGGTGGTGAGTGGTGGCCAGTGGTGGAGAGTGGTGGAGAGTGGTGGAGAGTGGTGGTGAGTGGTGGTGAGTGGTGGAGAGTGGTGGTGAGTGGTGGTGAGTGGTGGTGAGTGGTGGTGAGTGGTGGTGAGTGGTGGAGAGTGGTGGAGAGTGGTGGTGAGTGGTGGTGAGTGGTGGTGAGTGGTGGTGAGTGGTGGAGACGATTGGCCAGTGGTGGAGAGCGGTGGTGAGTGGTGGAGAGTGGTGGTGAGTGGTGGTGAGTGGTGGTGAGTGGTGGTGAGTGGTGGTGAGTGGTGGAGACGATTGGCCAGTGGTGGTGAGTGGTGGTGAGTGGTGGAGAGTGGTGGAGAGTGGTGGTGAGTGGTGGAGAGTGGTGGTGAGTGGTGGAGAGTGGTGGTGAGTGGTGGTGAGTGGTGGTGAGTGGTGGTGAGTGGTGGTGAGTGATGGAGACTAATGGCCAGTGGTGGTGAGTGGTGGTGAGTGGTGGTGACTATTGGCCAGTGGTGGAGAATGGTGGCTCATGATGTCGAGTAGTGTAGAGTCATAGAGACTGTTGGCTCATGAAGGCGAGTGGTGACGACTGGTGGCTTATGATGGATTGTGGTGGAAAGAGGGGGAGACTAGTGGCCAGTGGTGGAGGTTGGTTGATCATGATGGCTCATGATGTCGACTAGTCTAGATTCGTGGAGTCTGTTGGCTTATGAAGGCTAGTGGTGGACAGTGTTGGAGAGCGCCGGAGAACTGTGGCGAGTGGTGGCAAGTGTTGGAGAGTGGTGGTGAGCGGTGGAGAGTAGTGGCTCACGATGTCGAGTGGTGGCGAGTGGTGGTGAGTGTTGGAGAGTGGTGTTGAGAGTTGGCGAGTGGTGGAGAGTGTTGGCGAGTGGTGGTGAGTGGTGGAGAGTGGTAATGAGTGATGGACAATGGTGGCGAGTGTTGGCGAGTGGTGGAGAGTTGTTGCGAGTGGTGGACGGTGGCGGTGAGTGGTGGCGAGTGGTGGCGAGTGGTGGACGGTGGTGGTGATTGGTGGCGAGTGGTTGTGCGTGGTGGAGAGTGGTGATGAGTGATGGACAGTGGTGGTGAGTGGTGGCGAATGGAGGAGAGTGGTGGAGAGTGGTGGTGAGTGGTGGCGAATGGAGGAGAGTGGTGGAGAGTGGTGATGAGTGATGGACAGTGGTGGCGAGTGGTGGTGAGTGGTGGCGAATGGAGGAGAGTGGTGGAGAGTGGTTGTGAGTGATGGAGAATGGAGGCTCATTGTGGAGAATGGTGGCTCATGATAGCGAGTGATGGAGAGTGGTGGTGAGTGATGGAGAGAGGTGGCGAGTGGTGGAGAGTGGTGATGAGTGGTGGAGAGTGGTGGTGAGTGGTGGTGAGTGGTGGTGAGTGGTGGCGAATGGAGGAGAGTGGTGGAGAGTGGTGATGAGTGATGGACAGTGGTGGCGAGTGGTGGTGAGTGGTGGCGAATGGAGGAGAGTGGTGGAGAGTGGTTGTGAGTGATGGAGAATGGAGGCTCATTGTGGAGAATGGTGGCTCATGATAGCGAGTGATGGAGAGTGGTGGTGAGTGATGGAGAGAGGTGGCGAGTGGTGGAGAGTGGTGGTGAGTGATGGAGAGTGGTGGCGAGTGGTGGAGAGTGGTGGCGAGTGGTGGAGAGTGGTGGTGAGTGATGGTTCATGGTGGAGAATGGTGGCTTATGATGGCGAGTGGTCGGGAGTGGTGGAGAGTGATTCAGAGAGGTGAGGAATGGTGGCTCACCATGGCGAGCGGTGGTGAGTGATGCAGAGTGGTGGCGAGTTGTGGCGAGTGGTGGAGACTGGCTGCTCATGATTGAGAGTGGTGATTCGTCATCGCGACTGGCTTCAAAGAGAGACGCATTCGGGAATTAGTATTATTGTTAATAGCGTATCAATAATTTGCGATGTATCAGAACAAACAATGATTGTAGTGGGATACGTATCGATACTGGATACTTGATGAGGTCATCCCCTCATGTTATTATGCTTCCTTCTTATTGATTGCGCCATGTTATTTTATGTTCAACAAACCTTAGGAATACACTTTTATTTGAGGGAATTGCAGTCATATAGAGTTCATTATATAATGTACAAGTGTCACAAGTGGGGAGTGGTTGACTTGTGTTGGTCACGTGCACAGAACTAGTTCCACTATAGTTCAAGTCCTTGCTGGCATGGCCAAGGTGTCGAGGACAGGTCCGTCAAAGCACGTGACTGTAATTCTACGCAATTAATTAGTTTCACTTTCCTACTTATAACTAAATCAGTAACTATGTTTGCTGATTTTACCAGGATACGTACATGTAGTAAGTATTGATGTTTTGTTTTGTTAGTAAAAATTGAAGAGAATGTGATGAAATCAGCCAGTATACGGGGACTACATGACTTCTCACGGTGATACCGTCCTAGCCCCTTTCCCCGCCACCCGACTTTATTTACCAAATTATGTTCGGAGACATGTTTCCAAAATATTTTTTTACCTGCACCTCCAATGGCAATAGCTACATGTATGATGCGTTATTAAGTTTGTCAGACACACAAGTGTGTAATCAGTTGCATGAACAGCTGAACTCCACACAACAAGAGAATAGTACTGTAACTTTGGATTCATGATGTTGTAGTTTCAATTTTCTTCTCAGATAAACACTTGACTTGCCTTTGCATGTGTTGGTGACAAGTGCTATCAATGAGACAGGATGCGGTCACCTTGAAAAAAACATATGGTATTGTCGCTGTTTGATAGTGATTCATAAAACGTGCTCATGATATTGTCAGAATTATACAGTGGACTTTGCGTTTGGCAGAGATTCTTATGACTATTGAAATGGTTTTGGACCCTTTTATTTCTTTTATTGTTTTAGTTTCATGAAACTTTCATTTCTGAAGTTTTGTCATAAATATTTTACTCAGTGATCCACGTGACCGTGTGGTCGTACTGTTTTGTTCTTATCGACTCCCAATACGAAAGCCATGGACATCTGTTTGGACATGCGATACACGAAGACAAATTCCTTTTACAAAATTGGAGAGTATTTTACTATGATTAACGTTAGATATACATAAATGCAGGGCATACCTTCGGCACCATAGCTCTTTTGCAAGGAAATACTTCAAATTACTTTCAAAATTACACTTGAGTGTCCTTAATGAGTTTTTTTTCTGCCTTGAAAACATCAATGACACTAGGGGACTTTTTAAAATTTGATTTATCTTACTTCTTGCTAATTTACATATACTCAATTATGCCAGGCTTTGATGTACAATATTGTCCACATGGCTGACATGTGTCCATCAAGGGTATGTTTGACCTGATGGTTATATCCAAACGGAAATTTGATCATTAGTTTTTATCACACGTACAACAAAGGCCTTCATCTGTTGCAGCATCAAATTCACTGCCTGAAAAAAAGCAACCCACAAATCCATCTCGATTTGACAGTAAGATCCATCTATATTCAAAGCATAATTGGTGACATCTCTTAAAGGCTTGTGCAATAGCATTCTTAGATTCTTACTGTGTGATGATTTGGTTAGTTGGTTGGTTTGTTGTTTAACGCCGCACTACTGTGTGATGAACAGACTTATGTATCACACTTTGAGAGTGAAGATTACTTGGATGACCTTCCATTGTAGAGAAACTCCTACGATAACGGTCACATTGGTGTATGATGCCGCAGCCCTTACTTGAATGACCTCCCATTGTAGAGAAACTCCTACGATAACGGTCACATTGGTGTATGATGCCGCAGCCTACACTTGGATGACCTCCCATTGTAGAGAAACTTCTACGATAACGGTCACATTGGTGTATGATGCCGCAGCCTACACTTGGATGACCTCCCATTGTAGAGAAAGTCCTACAATAACGGTCACATTGGTGTATGATGCCGCAGCCTACACTTGGATGACCTCCCATTGTAGAGAAACTCCTACAATAACGGTCACATTGGTGTATGATGCCGCAGCCTACACTTGAATGACCTCCCATTGTAGAGAAACTCCTACAATAACGGTCACATTGGTGTATGATGCCGCAGCCTACACTTGGATGACCTCCCATTGTAGAGAAACTCCTACGATAACGGTCACATTGGTGTATGATGCCGCAGCCTACACTTGGATGACCTCCCATTGTAGAGAAACTCCTACGATAACGGTCACATTGGTGTATGATGCCGCAGCCTACACTTGGATGACCTCCCATTGTAGAGAAAGTCCTACAATAACGGTCACATTGGTGTGATGCCGCAGCCTACACTTGGATGACCTCCCATTGTAGAGAAACTCCTACGATAACGGTCACATTGGTGTATGATGCCGCAGCCTACACTTGGATGACCTCCCATTGTAGAGAAAGTCCTACAATAACGGTCACATTGGTGTATGGTGCCGCAGCCTACACTTGGATGACCTCCCATTGTAGAGAAACTCCTACGATAACGGTCACATTGGTGTATGGTGCCGCAGCCCACACTTTCACTGTAAAGATATAACACCAAGTGGATAAAGCATCATACCAATGAAGCGAAAAAAGGAACAAAGCGAAATGTAGAGCAATGAAAAATGGGTTCATCACAGTTAAACAGCGCCTCTCATGTTCCACCAAACCAGATATGAAATATCTGCATCTTATCATAACAAATATAATATAATGAGACACCGTATAGAAGAATACAGAATGTGATGGACTGAGTTGACTATCACACCATCCTTTGTCACATTTATACTTTTCCTTTTCTTAGGTAGTTACGATCAATTTAAGTGATATAAGGACTCTTAATGGGGAAAACATCATATAGACCTAGTATTATTTAAATCTTTTGGGATTAACTCAGACAACATATTAACACCACTGTTGGAAAGAATGGCGATGCTAACGCATTCTTAAATGAGAATATATTTGGTCTTTATTGATTGTAAAACCATCCGACTATGCGAGGGCTGACATGTCTTTGGCATAAAATAGTATTGGACGCTTAGTTATACATAGAATTGTGTGAGAGGTGGCCATGAACACTTCGTCTTCTCTTTTCTTCAACACATTTCTCTGCTGCAGCTCTCCTTTGTAAATAAGGTGGACAGTTTTGTGATCAAAAACAGAATGTTTCAATAATAAATGTTTGGGGAGCCATTACAGTATACCATTTATAAAGTTCCAACTTGTTTATACATAAAACTCACGCCTGTTTCTCGTGGAACTCTCAAGATACCTCAACCTTCTCATTTGCCCTTTACAATTACCTCTCTGTGTGGCAACGTGATGTCAATTTCTCAAAAACCAGAATGGTAATATCTGACTGTTGCCATTGTAGAACTTTTTCTTTAGTACATTTAATTCTGAATTCGAAGACACTTAAAGCTACAACGAGATCCCTTACTACAGGCATAGATCATATTCTTTTCATTTTAAGATCGGTATCTTAATTGGTTTTTAGAAATTTGAGAATTTCAAATTTGAATATTTCCTGCAACAAACTCTTTTTGATTTTTTGTACTGACTAGCATTTACCAATTGTGTGACCTCCCGAGATCTTCAGACCTACATGAATGTTAACATTCAAACACCATGGCTCTCCAGACCACAAACCGCCCTAGCTAATCACAGAACAAGTTCACATACTTACAATGTCCGTGTTCTGAGATCCTGACAACATTGATAATAGATAAAAGCGTTTTTCCCGTCTGGCCTCCGTGAACTAGATGATGAGTTCAGCAGCGCATCGTGGTCTTACATAAAAAAAACCATATATATTCCTAGAATTCTCCCGTGGCTGCGTGCTGTGGCTCTGTTGCACATGTTATATAATTGTTGATATCCTTTCAAGAGGCATTTCATCTTAATAATAACAAAAAAGTGACAAACCCCTTTTCATAATCATAAATATTGGCGACAAAATCTTTTTCATAACCATAAGTAAAGGCGAAAAAACCCTTTTCAAAATCATAAAAAAGGTGACAAATGACATTCCATGTGTTTGTGGCCAGTGCCACCGGTGGGGCAGGATATGCTTACCTTTTCACGAACACCTGGCAACAGCAGTCTTTTGGAGTGATTCATGAACACATGCTCATGATAAAGTTGGAAGCATACAATCCACTCTGCTTTTTAGCGGATATTTCTATTGAATGTGGAAAGGGTTTTGTCGCTTTTGTTCTATTTATGGTCGATTCCAGTTTTATATGAGTCATTGTTAAATGATTAAATAAATTAAGCAGTTTGCCTGAATTGGGCTTATTTTGA